AAGAATACTGGATGTTCTTACAGAAGATGTGGGTTCGAATCCTAGCACCCACATGGCAGCTAACAACTGTCCATAACTCAAGTTCCAGGGGATCCAACAGTCTCTTCTGTCCTCCGAGGGCATTGTGTGACACAGGTGCACTTACCTACATGCAGACAAACATGCACACACATAAAATAAAAATAATAAATAAAATAATTTTTTTTAAAGCTGACATGTACAGATGGACCCAAACACTATTCCTGTGTTCATGACAGAATTTTGTAGTTGGTGTTAGGACCACAAACAGTTCAAAAAGAGGATATGCTAAGTGGTTTCCAAATATCAGTTGTAGAAAGCAGCTGGTGTCGTGACAGCCATCCATGCCCAGTCTTGGTGGGGCATCTTACACTCCCAGCCTCTAGCACTGGGTGGTGGCAAACCTGTTCCTACACTTATCTTCTTTACTCTGCTCACTAAGCAGGAGAATCACTCCGTTCTGCAAGTGAAAAGCTCCTGTAAGATCACTGAATTCCATACTTGAAGGCCAGGCGTACAAAGCAAGCAGTAAACCCCGTAGGTTGTTTCAGCATTCATTTTGAGTGTCAGTTGAATGTTCTTATACCAGAAGCAGTTAGTCCCTGTGATGGATATCAACTTGACAGGACCTAGACTCCCCCCAGAAGATGACGTGTCTGGGCATATCTGTGAGAGAGTATTAAAATTAGGCTAACTAAGCCAGGTGTGGTGGTGCACACCTTTAATCCCAGCACCCTGGAGGTAGAGGCAGGCAGAGCTCTGTGAGATCGAGGACAGCCTGGTCTACATAGTGAGTTCCAGGCCAGCTGTGGCTACAAGGAGACCCTGTCTCAAAAAGACAAAAAAAAAAAAAAAAAAAAAAAAAAAAAAAAAAAAAAAAAAATTAGGCTAATTGAGGTGGGAAGGCCCACTGTAAATACGAGCAGAAGTATAGTCCATGGGCGGGAGTCTGGGACTAAGTAAAAAAGGAGGGAGGGGGGGAGGGAGGGAGAGAGAGAGAGATAAAAGAGAGAGCCAGCTGAGCACCAGCCTTCATCTCTCTGCTTCCTGATGGTAGACACAATGGGACCAGATGCCTCAAGCTCCTCCCACAATGCCTTCCCCACCATGAACCATGAACCAAAATAAAGCCTTTCTCCCTTAATTTGCTTTCATCAAGATGTTTTGGTTACAGCAATAAGGAAAGTAACTGGCCTCCTCTCAGTTCCTTAAGTGGTAGAACAGAGAACTAATCACCTTCTACGCCCACTTCCCAATGTCCGCTCCTCACAGAGCAGCCAGCTTCAACCATCTTGTCTGTGCCGCCAGCTCCACCACGGATGGACCACACCCCCATGCCCCACATGCCCCAGAGACCCCTGTTGCCATGTGCCTCCACATAACTCTCATTTGCCACCCCAAGCCTACCAGCTATGACTCCTTCCAGGAAATGCAGTCCAAGAACACCCTGACTCCCAGCACAAGCTCCACCCACAGGTCTCTTCCTTTTCACATGTGCCCTGCCTGCTGGCGGCTTGTTGGTCTCTGATAGCTGTTCCTTTCCCACTGCTGTCTCATGCTGCTCACTTCTCTCTTGGATCTATGACACTATGCTGTCAGTCCACGGGCACTGCTGACCTGCGCCTTGTGTCTTACCTGGTAGACACCTCTGAACATGATTTCTATTCTGGTCAGGGTCCTTCTGCTGCCTCTCATGGTGGAAATAAACTGACACAGGCTGGACAAGAGCCACAAGAATATCAACAAAGACAAGTAAGTTTCATATGGCATGTGAGGGACATGTGCTCACAGGTCAGAACAGAAGCTGATGACAGAGCCGGGATAAAGATGACCTGGCACGCTTTAACAATCCTTGACTTCCCACCTCCGAGAAGTACTATCAGCAAAGAGGCAGAGACACCTCAAGATCAAGTTAGAGGAAAACACAACAAATGGTGCTCAGAACGCAGTGAGAGCTGCAGGGGAGCCAAAACTGGCCCCGGAAGTGCTCCACAGAGACGGTGTGCTTCCTGATGCGTGAGTCCACTGAGGAGCCCCTTGACGCTGTTCCCGTCCCCCACTGACATATATATATTGTAAACCTTTAAAAAAGGATCACGTTTCATTTTTTGCCTTAATTTATTATTTGTGTGTGTGTGTGTGTGTGTGTGTGTGTGTGTGTGTGTGTGTGTGTGTGTAGTGTCTCCAAACATGACTTGTGTGTGGAGGTCAGAGAACAACTTCTGGGAGTTGCTTCTCTCCTTCTACTGTGAATTCTAGGAATTGAACTGAGGCCACTAGGCTGGCTGGACGCGCCTTAACTGGATGAGCCATCTTCAGACTCAAGGTACCATTTCATAAAGGGATAAACTAGCGCCAGGCATTTTCGTGATCTTGTTCCAAAAACACCACATTGCAGTCAAGCAATTCTTTTGTTCCAAGAGTCTGAACATTTTCAAAACATAATATTGCACAGATAACAGATTATACCAAGCCTTTCCTTTTATGATGCTAGTATAAGGCAACCTTCACACCTGGACTTCACCAGTCATGTGTCTGTGAAGACTTTACATTTGTTAAACCTACTGTTTTATAAATGATTCTTAGCTGTGTCTGCATGGAAATATCCCATCTTCATTTCTACCTCAAACATGCTTCAGATTTCTGAGCCCAGTAGTCTATTCTGACACCAGTCTGTACAGGCTCCATGATTCAGTATCTTTGTGAGGATATTCTAGAAAGTTCTTTACGTCTAAAACTTTCCCTGCCTGATTCACAACACCATATAAAATGGGTTAAGTGTGCACTCATTCAGTGATAAATTCCTTTAAAGACTTTTATGAGAAGATAGGGAAGAAAGTATAAAATTACAGGCACAGCTATTTTAGTTACAGACCCATTACTATGACCAAATATCTGACAAAAGCAACTTAAGGAAGGGTTTATTTTGCCTCACAGTTCTGGTGTGCAATCCATCATGGTGGAAAGGCAAGTCAGCAGGAGCGTGAGGCAGCTGATCTCTGCATTCACAGTCAGGAAGCAGAGAGAGAGAGCGAGAGCGATGAATGCTGGTGTTCAGCTGGCTTTTTTCAGTCCAGTCCAGGACCCTAGCCTGTGGGGATGGTGCCACCCACATTCAGGGTTGGTCTTCCCTCCTTGCTTAAACCTCTCTGGAAACACCCTCACAGATGTGTTTTGGATAACTCCAAATCCAGTCAAATTGACAATCAACAGTAAAAAGGAGTTAAAAATGAAATTTCTTATCTGCGTGAAACCACATCTGTGCCTTCGTTGCCCAGTTATAGCCATTAGGTCACTTTTCTGGTTCAATCAATCCAACTTCTACTTCTGTGTGTGTGTGTGTGTGTGTGTGTGTGTGTGTGTGTGTGTGTGTGTGTTTGCTTGCATGCCTGTGGAGGCCAGAGGGCAAACTCAGCTTTCATTCCTCAGAAGTTGTCCACCTTGATTTTGAGACAAAATCTCTCACTTGTTAAGTAGTCTAAGCTTACTGGCCAACCAGCCCCAGGGATCTGCCTTTCTTCACCTACTCAGCACTGGGATAATGAGCACATGTCAGTGAGCCTAGAATTTTTATGTGGGTTCTGGGGATCAAATCCAGGTCCTCATGTTTGCACAGCAAGCACATTACCCACTGAGCAATCTTTCCAGCTTTTTAGGTTATGTTTCCTGAAATGCAACAACAAACCATGATTGTCACTCATTCAGCATTCTGGAATTTATAAGATGGTCCCTCTTAAACGTGATGTGAAAGTTATCATCTATCTATATCATAAAAGACACACACTCAACATGACTAATATCAAACACATAGCTATCAGAGTTGGTATGCCTAATATGTTCTGAATGGTTCTGAAACCCAAAACAGTCATCCTCAAACCAAGGTTCAAATACTCTGGAAAATCAGTGAGTTAGAGTTTGCTTTTGCAAATAACATCAAATCTGGGTGGGTGTGAGAAAATTTGAGTGTGAATTAACTTTGAGTACTAAATTACTTTTCCTGTTGATGAGCTCAAACACCTACTTAAGGAAGGTAGGGTCTGTGTTGACTCACGGTTTTAAGGTTCAGTCAGTCATGGTGGGGAAGGCATGACAGCAGGAATATGAGACAGATGATCACACTGTGTCCCCAGTCAGGAGGCTGAGAGTTGAATGCTGGTGTTCAGCTCACTTTCCCCTTTTTATGTAGCTTAGGGCCCCAGCCCACGGGATGGTTGTTGCCCACATTTAGAGTACATCTTCTCACCATAATTAATTCAATCTAGACAGTCTTTCTCAGACATGTCCAATGGTCTGTCTCCCAGGTAATTCTAGATGCTATCAAGATAATGATCATCATGAACCATCACTAACATGATTGGATACATATAGCTCCAATCGACCACCTACTTACCTGTCATATCACAAACAGGGGCTGGGGAGATGGCTCAGAAGGTAAAGTGTTTGCCACAGAAGCCTGACAAGCAGAGTTCAGATCCCCAGTATCCATGTAAATGCTGAACAGGAGTGGCAGTCCATCTCTAATCCTACACATGTGAGGCGGAACAGGGAATCTCTGGAGCAAGCTGGCTAGAAATATTAGCTGAATGGGTGAGCTCTCAGTTCAGGTGTGAGAGAGCCTGCTTCAATATATAAGGGGGCTCAAGGAAGAATCCTGATGTCTACCTTGGGCCTCCACATGCACACACAAACACACAAACACACACACACACACACGTGCACCTGTACACACACCTGTCCCCACACACAACACACACATATTCATGTAAAAAATGGGTTTAAAAAATCAGAAAGAAGGACAAGAAGCAATATATCTGCACGCCAGACTAGATAAATGTATTATATGAGCTTAGTGATGTCACTAAATTACATAAAATACAAACTAATTCAAATGCTTCTGAATTTTTACAGGATAAATAAATTCTATTATTATTTGGACTAATTTAATTATAAAGATCTAATTTCACTTACTTTAAGATACAGACCTAAATTCAAGACATTGCATTTCCGTATAAAATTTCATTGCAGAATTTCCGCATAACTTGGCCACATTTGAACTCACAATGTGCCTCAGTCTCCCCACCTATGGCATGAAGGGAGAAGCAATGGTTTTAGAGGATGGCAATCTTCAGGTGCTTTGAACTCTGAGAATTCAAACTATAACTTGGAAGCTCCACTGAGCTCCTGCTTTTTGCCTTGGACTTCAAAGGGTTGCCAGCGAGTTTCCTTTGATTTCCTACTCTTTCTGGTTTCTGCACATTAAACAACTCTGGAAGAATCCAGAAGAGAAGATGCAGGGGCGGCTCTTTCTGTGGAGCTTCCTCACTCTTCCCAGTGAGTTTTCTTCACTGTCCATATACCTACATCTCATTCCAGCTGGAGTTTAGACCACTGAACAGACAAGAAATGCTCCCCAAAGCTTACCTGTTCTACTAACAGGCTGGAGAGGGTTTCAGAAGGTTGGCTTTTTCTGCATGACGACCTCTTGTCATCCATGTTTTTGTGTGGCATTAGAGCATGTCCTTTAAGACCATGCATTTTGTGGTTGGAGACCAACCCACAAATATTAATGCATCGCTTCTCACTGAGGAGGTGCCATGACAATCTGACGGCTTAGCATAACAAATGGAAGGAAAAAGACATACGAGAAGAGCAGCCACTGATCGCCTACCAGTTCATTTGGCTGATGGATCATGGCAAGAAGTCGCAGAACAATTTTTAAAAGTCACACATATCAATGAAAAATGGTTCCGTAATATTGCTGAACTGAGACTTTGCAAAACTGAAGAAATGGCCTGGTTTCATGTCACAGAAGTTAACCAAACAAAGCAGTGTGTGAATGTGTGTGCAGGGTAAAAATTTAAATTCTTCTTCAGTCATGTCTAGGAATGTAAAGAACAAAGAAAATGGAAGGTGAAGGGAGGAAAGACATTAACAAAGAGCTATTTGGTTTGTGGAGGACATATTCCCTGCATATCAACAGACACATTCATTAATTTTTTTAAATGATAGTAGAAAAGTTGCTTTTCTTTTTTTTAAAAAAGAAGTCATTTATGAGACTGTTTTGAGTCATGAAAATTGAAATAATACCATTAATCTTGTTTTATTATTTCATCATGAGTTAAGCAGATTCTTGTGAGCTTTATGAAAAACTAGCCCAGCTGTTTTAGGAAAATGTTCTACGTGCCATGTGCTCCTAGCCCAAAATGCAAACTTATAAAATCATCAATGGAGCAGTGATCCTCTCTGGTAGGCATGGTCTCCACTTGGATATCCATGGTGACATCATCCTCTCTACCCTTACTCTGACCCTGTGATGTACCTCACTGAGGAACTCAAGAGAGAAGAGAGAAATTGCCTCCAGCTACTGGGAGGATACCCCCCATGCTCCTTTCCCCACTGCCATCTCAAAAAAGCTGCCTGTCTTTCGGTTCAGGGGGAACCTCTCCATGGGGGCTGAGGACTGTACTGCACCCCCCTCCAAATCTTCTCAAGTACTTTGCCCTAGTTATGTTTTCTGTGCTTTAATCCACTAAGAAGGGATGGGGAGATGACTCAGTGCATAAAGTGCTTGGCTACATAAGCATAAGGACCTGAGTTCACCCCAGCACCCAAGTAAAAGCCAGGTGTAGCAGTGTACACTTGTGATCCCAGTCCTGGGGAGGCAGCCAGACAGCCTAGCTGAATTGGCAAGCTCTAGGTTCGATAAGAAACTCTGTCTCAAAATATAAGGTGGGAAGTGATTGAGGAAGACATCTGAAGGTGACTTCTGGCCTCCACATGCGCACACATATTTATGCGTGCACGCATGCGCACAAAGGCATACACACACATACACAATCAATCAGTTTTAAAAAACAGTAACTCAAGTGAGATCACTTATGCTTATAATCCTACTGCTAAGGAGGTAGAGATAGGTGGATTTCGGGGGTTCACTGGCCACCCAAACTAGGCTAATCAGTGAGTTCCAAGCCAGTGAGACCCTGCCTCAAATAAACAAGGTGGACATGCACCTACTCCCCAACACCAAAATAAATAAATAAATCAAAGCAAATAACACGGGTTCCTAAAACATCCTGCCTGTGGCCTCCCCTGGTTCTTCCCAGTGCCATCCTTCCTAGCATTTCCAGTGACTCACACTCAGGACCTCAAAGCCAGATAACTGCTCTGTATTAAAGGTTCATCCAATTGCCTCAAAAGGGACAAAAACTGAACCTAGACACAGTCCAACTCAGGATTTTCCTTCTAAGACAGTCTCCTTCAGTGTCTGTGCCTGTGTGGTCACTAAGACCCCTGTAGTTATGGAGGATTGCATCCCTGGGGTCATCTTTGACAGCACTGATCCTTTGTTGCTATAGCAACCCGCCTGTCCTGTTAGCTTCACTCTGAAGCTTCTTTCTTCCCTTCCTTCCCACCGTGTGCTCTTCTACAGCTACTCAGAACTGTCTTACTTCTTCCTCAACTTTGCTCACTATTCCGTATGACTGCCAGAGCCATGGGATACAAATAAAATAGATAAAAAGTATTTTAAGATACATTAAGCAATTATTTTAAAAGTATTTTATTTATTATTTTTGTTTTATGTGTATGTGTGTTGCCTGAATGTGTGTAAGTGCACCTGTGTCATGCAATGCCCACGGAAGTCAGAAGAAAGCATAGGACTCTCCTGGAACAGGCATTAGCTGCCATGTGGGTGCTTGGGAATCAAACTCGGGTCCTTTGTAAGAGCAGCTAGTGCTCTTAACTACTGAGTCATCTCTTCTTAACTGTGTTTTTAAGTCTTTTTTTTTTTTTTTTGTCTTTTGAGACAGGGTCTCAAGGTAACCCAGGTTGGCCTCAAACTCCCTTCACCAAGGATGAGCTTGAAATCCTGATCCTCCCACCTTTGCTTCTCTAGTGCTGGGATGTAACCCAGTCATGCCTGGTTTTTGTGGGTTGCTGGGTTAGAACCCAGACCTTGTGAGTGCTAGGCAAACCAAATGAGCTACAACAGCAGTCCAGTTTTGAGGTCTTGACTGGCTATTTTAATCATTGTTTTACTGATCTTTCAACATTCCTTAACGTTTTAGTTCCTTTTCCACATGGGTCTATGGTTAGATTTTAAGGCATAGTCACTTCCCTGTTTGGATTGCTCAAGTTAAGTTTTAAAGACCATTCTATTTAAATATATCCCTTTGGGAAATTTGAATGTATTCTATCCAATGGTATTTTTAATTTGCTTGCTGAGAGTTTCTGTTCATTGTTTTTATTCTGCTAATTTAGAGATAATTCACCTGGGTGTAGTGGGGCACAGTTTGTAATCCCAGCCCTTAGACACTGCCTTGCTCTCATGCTCCCCCCTGCAAAAAAAGTCTGTTCTTTCAGATGATATACAGTTTTCAAATTCTAGCCCCAAACTCTACCACCAGCAAAGGATTCAAGGCAGACCTCTCTGTCTTTATCTTGTTAAGGAATACACTGGGTTATGCACACTTTGCCATTCTGTTTTGCAATTTTAGAAAGTATCATAAGTTTCTACAATACCTAAAGAAACAGAAACTAAAGATTCACCTATTCGTTTTTCTTCTTCTCTCAATACAAATTAAGGCAATAGCTATAACTGTTCCCTAAAAGACAATACCTTTTGCATGATCTTGTATGACAGTCATTTTGACAGAAGTACCATTTTAAAGGAAATTGTTTTAAATAATAACCTCTCCTCCTTTTTTCCCCCTTTAAGACAGCGTCTTATGTAACCCAGGTTTAAAATCCTGATCCTCCTGCCTCCGATCTCAGAGTGTTGGGATTGGTTGTAAATTCCAAACTTTAATCTTTTCCAAGTTTGTAGTCTTCCATATTTCCATTTCAGATGTTGGCTAACTCCTACTAAGAATGCCTTGTCTGATTGCTTTTCTAAAATCCATAGGGTTGACCTTTAAAAATATAAAACACAAAACAAAACCTCAACATTACCTACTTCATTTTTGAACTACACTCTGATCCCCATATTGCACCAATCTGAAGCTGGTGGTTCAAATGGCCCTCTGGGAGCAGTGGATTTCGTTTCTGACAAATTCACGTGGCTTGAGGAAAAGAGCAGGGCGTTTACACCCAGCTGCTTCTTAATGGTGAGCCCAGGTTCCAACTCTGCTCAGATAGGCTGCTCTGTTTTGCAGCAGCCCCTGAGCCTGGGTACTGACCCCACTGATGGCCTCTGCCCCACCCTCTGCTAGGACAGCAGATTGATGACTCACCCCACAGGTGGAGCCTGGCGCTATCTCCTCTGAAGATCTATGATATCAAAAAGAGGGATGTGTGCCTGAGACCAAAATAAAATCCAGCTAGGAATACTGCCAAATTCTTCCTCTGTCTCACACTTACTCTTCTATAATGCCGGTCTGTCTCCCTCAGTGGAGAACTGCAGAAATATGAAACTGACCCTTTCTTTACTTAGTGGAATCCCATGGCATAGGAAGAGGCTTAGTGGGACAGTTTGCCTGTACTACCACAATAGCTGGCAATTATCAATTACCATGGCCTGTCTCCATTTCATAGCACCCACTGTGGAAACCGAGGCGTCTAGGAAAGCCGCAGATAAGTTCAGCCGGGGAAAATCACAGGCAGAGCTTAAGTACGTCTCTCCCACAGTGCATAGGGCATGCCTTACCAGTTGGAGGAGGCTGGCAAGAGTGCTCTGCGGCTGACCCAGAAAGCCAGGCTTTCACTGCGTTTTGTCCACTGAGAAGCCCTTCCTCCCTTTTTTGCTTGGGGGACAAGTGTGGGGAGGGAACTGTCCCTCCCAGAGCGCTACACTGTGGCTTTAGCTGTTGACCTGGCTCCTCTAGGTTGAGAAATGCACGCTCAGTGGGGAAAGGGGAAGAGAGGTTAGAAGCGGTTTTTCAAAAACAACCCCTCTTCAAGTTTCCCGTGTGTGCCCCCTAGCTCACCCGAACCAGCCACAGACAGGTTAAATCGGGCTGACCCTGGACAAGCGGGGCTGCTGGGCTTCCTCGGAAGGAGGCGGGTATCCGAGTTTCCGCTCCTCTCGCCTGGCTTCCCTTTTCTGTCCGCTCGCCAGGTCCTGAGAGGCGCCGGTCCCTCGGACTCCAGGGCAGAGGTGGCTCCGGTCGCCCAGTCTGAGACTTGCAAGGCGCAGCTGGAATTGGCAGCGCTGCACCGGGCGCCAGGCGCTGGCAAGCGGGGACGCGCGTACGCGGTGGCCGAGTGCCAGGGTTGTCTCTGGCCGCTCACACACGCCCAGCTCTGCGTGGGGGCGGCTGGCGGCCCCCCCTCTTGCCTGCAGTGAGCCGGCGCCCCGGGACTGCCCCTTTCCGTGGACCCAGGCATTAGGCTCCCGGCCTCTGGGCGTGCCCTTCCCACCCGTGTCTCCCAGGAGCGGAGGACGGAGGCGGGGGCAAGCGGCGACCAGGGGAGGCGCTCGGAACCCGACCCGCGCCGGGCGACCCGGGAGCTGTGCCTCGGCCTTTGCAACCTGGAGGCGGGGCACTAGGGACACGAGCGGGAAAGATTTGACCCGCAGCAAACCAGCATCCCGCGTGGGCGCCCTGCGTGCAGCCACGCGCGCAGCCTTGAGGCTGAGCACAGAGTCCCGGCCTGGGGCTTGCGCGCCCGGGGCGTCCTTTCTCCCTGCCTGACCCTAGTTCTTCTGCCAAAACCTTTGACCAAAGTCTCCTTGCCAACATTCCTAAATCTTTGCCAGCCTTTGCACCAGGTAGAAGTCAGGCTCTGCGATGGCAGCGTGTTTATAAATGTCACTTCCCAGAAGGCGTATGACCTTTTTCACCTACCCCACCAGATCCTTCCGAGGGTGTTCCAGGGCGCCGAGCCCTGTTAAGTAAGAGCCTGATTTTTGGTTGCAACCTGTTTGTTAAAGTCTCTGGGTTGCCCTTGCTATTCATGAGCATTCGCCGCCTGCCGAGGTTCCTCCGAATGCCCTTGGAACTGGACTGGGACCAGGGAGAGGAGAGGGCAGGGAGACCCAGTGGACGCCGCCTTGTTTGATGGTGCAAGGTGATGAGGGCCAGAAGTTGGAGGTCCGATGGGCACAATTTTCTGTGGCCTGGAGCAGGTACTATGAGGCCCTTGCGTGATCAGCCCGACACCTCCACCTCCGGCCCTCGCCAGTCTATTCCTTCCCTCGGGGTGCACGGAACCCACAGCCGGACCCCTAATTCCGAGTGCCTGGAGCACCTGGGGTGCTGCAAGGCTGGCCGGGTTTGGCGGCGGCTGCCCCCTAGCTGAGAGACTCGCCACCACCCATCCCTGCGGTTTCATGTGCCCCCAAAAGATAGGGCACCAAATCTCGGGGAACAATGCAGCCAGCAGCGCCGAGGGGCACACAGCCGCGCACCCTAACGCCTGCCGGGGAGGCGGTGCGGGACTGCTGCCGGGTTCTGCCGGCCAGGGAGGTCTGACTCCGATTTACGTGGCAGTGACACCGCGGCTGTCCTCTGGGCTCTGCTGAGCGTCTCCCACTTCAGCCAGGCTTTCTCTCCCTGGCCTAAGTCTCACTCCGAGGCCCAGGGGCGTCCGGCTGCTTCCCACTAGGAGCCTCAGACTAGCACTTGGGGAGCGGGAAGGGGGGGCTGGCCACGCGATCCTCGCCGCTGCAGGCGCGGGTCCCCTGAGACCTGGAGTTCCGGGAAGCAGCAGCCACCTTCTGGGCGCTCCGCACTCCTCGGTTCCGGGATCCTCGCCTCCTGGAGCCGCCTAGTTCAGCCTCGGGGTGCAGAGGAGCACGCCGAGGTAGGCTAGCGGGACCCTGTGGCTGGCACCACTTGCGATGCGGCTCCCGCACGCACGCGTCCAAGCGCCCAGAGCTCAGAGCCCCCCCCCCCCCCCCCCCACACACACACTCCTGTATCGCCGTCCTTTCCCCGGAGAATCCCGGCAGGGTCGAGCCGGGTATAGTGACCAGGAGAGCACTCGGAGGGAAACTCGGGTCTCCCGGTCTCCAGCCAGGCAATCACTGGCTGGGCTGTGCGGGGAGGGGGCGGGAGGAGGCGAGGGAAGGGCTCGGAAGGGAGGGGAGGCCGAGGGGAGGCGGGGTGCTGGTGGAGAAAGTCCTCGCTCTCCCGCTCATCTTTTCATTGCTGGCTCTTTCCTTCCCGCAGACAGCCCGGACCTCCCCTGGGCGCCAGCTCCTCGGCTCCAACCCGTCCAGAATCAAGCCGGATTTTTTTTTTTTTTTTTGGAAATTGGCTTTGTTGTGTTGCCCCCCCCCCCCCCCCCTGTTTTTTTTTTTTTTTTGGAAATTGGCTTTGTTGTGTTGCCCCCCCCCCCCCCCCCTTTTTTTTTTTTTTTTTCTTGCTGAGACATGGCCCGGGCAGTGGCTCCTGGAAGAGGAACAAGTGTGGGAAAAGGGAGAGGAAACCGGAGCTAAATGACAGGATGCAGGCGACTTGAGACACAAAAAGAGACGCGCTTCTTTCGGATTCAGGCATTTGCCTTTCAGCTTTCCTTCCCCGCCAAGACCCGTTGAGGATTTTACGGCTCTTAGGAGGGCTTGGAGCGTTTCGGATTGTTAAGATTCGGGTTTGCTGGGCTTTTCTCCCCGAGATCTCCTCCGGCCTCAGCTGCCTGGGAAATCGGCTCCGAGGAGCAGGATGGAGAGGGGGCTGCCGCTGCTGTGCGCCGCGCTCGCCCTCGCCCTAGCCAGGGCCAGCGCTTTCCGCAGCGGTAAGTGACAGGCGGAGGCGCGAGCTACGAGCCTGGGCTGCGGGATCCCCACGAAGGACCGCACGGTCCCCGCCTGGGATGGGCTTCCCGCCCCAGCCTCGGGACGCGCGCACAGCAGCCGGGCGCAGGAAACTTGCCTGCGCGAGAAACACAGAAGTCAGGAGTCTGGGCAGGAGGACCGCAAGCCCTCGGCTCTGGCTCAAGTCGGTTGCTGGCTGTGGGGTTCTCCTGCCTCTTTCCAAGGCAGAGCGCCTACCTTCCCAGATCAGCACACCAATTATCTTAATAATGTTTCCTCCCAGAGGCAATTAGATGAGACTCCTTTTCAAAAATCTGATGGCTGCTGAGAGTTAATGAACACTTCACCAGGAGGACTTCCTGGTTTTCCTTGCAGCTGCCCTACTCGGTTTCCTCTGGTGGGCGACGCTGAGAGATAGCGGTCTGTCTTGGCGGTCGCTGGAACTCTCTTCCCCCGCCTTTGTAAACGGTCCCGGAGTATGAATGAAAGTTGTAGAGTCAATAAAGGAATATGATCTATTTAATGTAACCAATATATCTGAGAATTTCTAGCCCGAGTGCAGCTTCGAGTTGGCTTTTAAAACCACTTACTGTTAAGCAATGAAAGGCAGTCCTGGGTATAAACAGTCCCGCGGACCTAAATAGTGTGTTTTAAAATGGGATCTGGTGCAAGCATGTTCGACTTCCCCTGGAAAGGTGCTGAAGGCTAGGCATGCGCTGCTCTGAACAGTAAATCTTCAGCAATTATTATTAACTAATGGCCAAATATTTACTTTTGTCTGGCTTAGATTTCAATCAAAGTAATTAGGAGGAAAGAACATCCACTACTTATTGCGGTGTATTGTTTTAATAAAGGAGGCCAGTGCAGGCCCCTACCAGGAAGAATTTAAATCACTCCTTTATGATGGAAGTTAATCTCCTTAATGTGCTTTCTCCAGATTTTGTGATTTGAGGGATATATCTCCCCCAACAGGTACCAAGCAGTGTTTTTGAAAGATATGCAGAATTTTTGTGGACATGGCTGGAACTCAATTTATTAATGAATCTGAGTTGGCGGTGTCTTTCTATATATACTCTGGCAGGGAAGCCAAACACTCAAAAAAATCATGAATGTGGAGTTCAATTTATTAATGAACCTGAGTTAATGGTGTGCTTCTTTCTATATTCTGGCAGGGGATAAAACAGCATTCTCCGCCAACCAAAGAAGCTCAAGTGGTTAGACTTTAAGATTTAAGTCCTTCAGACTCTGAAGTTAGAACCCTGGTGGGGTACCCACAGGAAGTTAGAACCCTGGTGGGGTACCCACAGGATGTATGTGACAGCTAGTATGAAGAGCACTCAGATTTGGGGTTCAGAATTTCAGAATGACAGACACACACACACACACACACACACACACACACTCCTTAATATCCTTGGCAGAAATCTGGGGAATGCTAGGTGTGGGATTCAGTCCGCTTGAATAGCTAAAGCCGTGTTGCTATGCTTGAACTGATCAGGGCCAGCACAAGCCTCTGTAAGCCTGCAAGTCCTCTTAAAACCATGTCCACCTCCTCCCAGTTAGTGTCTACTAAATTAATTCATTAACCTTATTTAGTACTAATGGTCCAGAGTCATTAGGAATTGCTCTCTCCTAATCAAGTGTTAGAGAGACTGAGCAGAACATGGGAGTCGAGCAGTCCACATTATCTTATTACACTGTCACTTTCTCAGAAGTCATAGATTAAAGCGCTCTGGTGTGGTACCAAGCCCACCTCGCTGTCTTCTGAAGTGACTGTCTGGCAACTGTTTTATTTCACTCTCCTAACAGATGCCAGACCCTGCCATGATGGCTGCACAGAGCTGGAGGGACTTAATGAGCTGCGGTCACTCTCCAAGTTTTCTGCCCATATAAAATACTGCTCAAGCCTCCATAGTATTGCACCACGGAGCTGCTAGCATCATTAGCTGAGATTCTGAGTGTTGGTTGCAACATCATTTCTTTTCAAAGACCTAAAGCTTTTTAAAAGCCAATGGGAAGAGAATCTGTGAGCTCACGTCCATCTAGGAAACAGCTAGAAACATCTAGCAATTGGAGAAAACAGCATAGTTTATATTGTCTTCTTTTTAATTTATGGGAAATGACTTCTGTAATGCATGTAGCTTTATGCATTTTTGATGTGTACTTCATCTTTCATTTCCATTTGACCTGGTTTTCCTGTAATAAAATTCCGTAGATTTATAAATTCATGCTGAGAGCAAAGAATGTGTTTCTCTTTCCACAGGGAATCTATTAGATGTAATATTAAAATCTGTATATACCATTATTGGATGTTTGTGATTGATAGGCTTATATATTTCACTGCTTCATACTTGTTCTTCTTACATAGTTTATACACCAAATTTTTATTGCCTAAAATTAAGCATCACTACACAAGCTGGCATTGTGGGCTGAGGCTCACCAGTGTGAGACTCATAATAGAAAGTGACAGTAGGGCTCTATGCCGAATAGTAAGTCAGATTTATTTGGTTTATTTGGTTGTCAGGGTCACATCAGTATTTGAGGTTTTGTTGTTGTTGTTGTTGTTGTTGTTGTTGTTGTTATTGTTGTTCTTGTGGTTTGTTTCTCAGCAAAGGCTCCAAACTAGATAATTCCCCTTTCCCGGAATGTGAAAATGTGGCTCGCCATGTGTAATACCCAGACTTCAGGCTGGGGCTTCCCCTAACATTTAGTAATTAGAATTAATGCTGTGTGGCTATTTATTTTTCTTTCTGCCCCATTGCTTTGATCTAGTCGCCAAGGCTGAGTGACTTGGCTAGGTAAAGCAGAATTCTTTCTGCTTCGCTAACTGCACTTTGTTCACTGTTGATTTGGGTCTCAAAAGCAGAGATAACTCAAAATCACTTAGATTTGTGAGCAGATAAAACAACAAAAGGAGGTTAGGCTTCAAGCCAATCAAAGTCCTGGAAGACAATTCTCACTGGTCAATGACACAGACCAGGCATATCTTCAAAAAGCAACTTGCAGGGAATGCAATAGCATCTTCTAGTCATCTTCCACTTAGAACTGCTGCTTAATGTGATTACACTTCTTGGAGGATAATTATGTCTAGCAGAAACTCCCAAGGGGCTGTGTTAACATCAATTGAGGGGATTTAATGTTTTTAATGCTAGAAGACCTTTTTCTTGGGAAGGAACTTTGGGGGGGATGGGAGAGCCGTCTCAGATCTCAGTAGGCTTTCTGTGGAAGCCACCCTCTTTAAGATCAAAGAGTGTTCCTTGGTGGTGTGGTGTTCTTGATTTAGGTGACACCAGAAAGACTTGCGGGGACTTTTTGGAGTTCCCCTTAAAAAGATATATAATTATAATGTTTGTTAATTAGCAATATGTATCTAAAGCTAGAAGACTACTGGTTGTGGGGGAAAGATCAGGGCTAAAATGCTGGGTTTTTTGTTACAGATAAATGTGGTGGAACTATCAAAATCGAGACCCCAGGGTACCTTACATCCCCTGGTTACCCTCATTCTTACCATCCCAGTGAGAAGTGTGAATGGCTGATCCAGGCTCCGGAACCCTACCAGAGAATCATGATCAACTTCAACCCGCACTTCGATTTGGAAGACAGAGACTGCAAGTAAGTGAGAACGAGTTTGAACAGGGCGCCACAGCACCATCTAGTGGCGGCAAGTGTCTATGCGGTGCCGTGTTAGGACCTGAAGGGGTCCCAAGCTAGACCAGATCAAGTGTCAAGAGTATGAAAATCAAGTCAGAAGCGATTAAGTTTGTCTCACTAGGAAAACTATCCTTAAATGCGTTCGCTTGTCTTCTTTGTGTTAACACTTTTGGTTTTGGAAATCTCTTGTTAAGAAATATGTGGTGTGTGGTTCTTTCTGGAAAGGTTTTTGAAAAAAACAAACAAACTAGAAAGCAGAACTCTTGCTTGTGTTTTCTTAAATATTGTAGATCACCAATGTACTTTATCCACTGATTGTTAGGTTTGGTGTTTTTTAAACAGATATGTTGCTAGTTTTATGATTTCAGAACTGTGTTTCTCACGCCTGCAGTTGTAACTCAGTGGTAGAGGGCCCGCCTAGAATGCTTAAGGCCCTGGATTTCACCCAGAAATCCTCTCCAAAAGATTGCATTTCTCTTACTGAGTTTGACAGAATTGGCACAGAACAGAAATAAAGTATTTAGAGCATATTAGATCATGATTTGTGGTTGTTTGTTTGTTTGAGACAGGGTCTCACTGTGTAGCCCTGGGTGACCTGAATTCGCCTACATAGACGAGGATGGCCTCCCAAATTACAGGCATGCGCCAACACAGCTGACTTAAAGGAGAATTTTTAAAATATTGGATTAATGATTAAGAGGTTTATGAAAATGCTAGAAAATAATTGTTGGAGTGCATGAGTGCAATGGGAATGTAGGTATAAATCAGGTTTGCATTCATCTTCCTTGCTTGGCTGTCTCTTTCTACTTGGAGTTACTAAACACTAGTCTATGTCAGGTTTCATTATCATGAAGCTGTTTTACTGTGGAGATCATCTAAATGATGCCTCCCCCTTTACTTGAAAAGCCTTGTGTATAGGGGTGGAATTGCTGCCTTTGCGTTGTCTGGGGTGGACACTGAGATCTTTGTAGCTCATCTCTTTCCACACCCTGCATCACCTCTTTGTGTCTTGTCCACGTGATCCCATTCTGCAGCACTGAAAGGAGTTTCCACTTTGAACCTGAATATTGATTTTTTTTGTGAGACGCACACACACACACACACACAAACTATTAAAAAGGAGATGATATTTAAATCTCAATTCTAAAATGTTTCTCAGGAACTAACATGTTTTATGAGTTTTGGAATGGGTCAATTTTGCTACTTCCTTTGAATGTAACCATGTTGCTACCATGTTCAATGGTCAGGCTATTCTATTCTATTCCTTTTAGAGAACAGAACTCTTTGAAAATGTTCCCACTTGTAGGAAGGATTCAGAAACCTGTTGAGTTTGTGGTGGGAAACAGCTTTCCACCATCAGGGTAGTGAGGTGTCTGTTTCATTTAACATTTTTGTGCCTAGCAAATTAGCAGAAATCCATAGACCGATGCTGGGTTTCTGAATAGTCAGCAACTATTACAATGCGGTGAAATTATGCTGATTCCAGTCTAATTCGTATTCTGTGATTCAGAAGTCCTGGGTTTTGTGTTGACTTTTAAATCTTTTGTAGAGCTAATAATATGTTCCAGCAACTGCAAGAAAACAAGGAGTTCTTTTCTGGAGGTGCTGAGGACCAAGCCCAGGTCTCATGCATGCTGGGCAAGCACTGTAACTTCTTGCTCCATCCCTAGCTTGTTAGTGTTCTTTATGATGGTGTTTACAGTGCTAATTATGTAGACAACTTGGACACTTATGATATTTCTTGTTTCTCAGTTTTTGATAATGCTTAAATTGGTATTTTTCAAGAGACTCTGATAATGCATGGTCAAATAATAATATTATACCCCCAAAATGGTATTCTTAGATTTCATTAAACTCATGTTTACTGATTTCTGATCAAGAAGTCATAACATGTAAATGTGTGAACGAATTAAGAGCTCAGAATGAATGATCACTAGTAATTAGCAGTGGTATGCTGATAAACATTAGCAACCAGCTTTTGGGAGGGGTGAGTCAGGTCTTGATTTTTAACATTTGCCTATTTCCACTGTGTAAATATTGTACTGTGGCCAGTTTCCAACTATCTGTATGATGCTACCACCCACAGACTTGCAGAGGGATGTGTGTTCAGCAGTGGTCCTCAGAGCAGGTACAAAGCTGGGCCCAGCACACTGCAATAGAAGTTGGGAAGGAAACTGATTGATAAACTTATGTTCGGTACTCATGGTATCTGATGAATGGGAAAACTTACATCATTATTTGGCATATAATGCAGTAGGATAGGTTATGTTGGGATTGGAGGAACATCTTTTTAGTCCATTTCCTTTAAAAAAAAAAAATCAGAGGCTGGCAAGATGTCACAGTTAGTAAATGCTCTTGCTGCCAAGATTGATGACCGGAGTTCCATCCTTAGGACCCAGAGGGCAGAAGGAAAGAAACTACTTCCAGAAGTTGTCCCTAGGCCTCATTGTGTGCACCATGGGATGCATGCACCCACACACCCACACCCACACAATAAATAAACAAATAAATAAATAAACAAATAAATAAATGTAACGAAAATGTTTTGGCGACAATCAGATAAAGGATGATCATAATTTACTGAAAGGCGATTTGAATGTTATCAGAGCAAGATAAGAAAGTGATATTTCTGGGGTTGGGGAGAGGGCTCAGTCAGTCAGGGGCCTATGCAAGCATGAGGACCTGAGTTCGGATCCTCAGCACCCACACAATAATCAAAACACAGTTATGTAATTCCAGCACTGGAGAGGCAGAGACTGGAGGAACCCTGGGGCTCACCGGCCAGTCTAGCAAAATAGCGGAGCTCCAGGTTCAGTGAGAGACCCTGTCTCAAAGAATAAGGTGGAAAGTGATTAAGGAAGACACCGGACATCAGCCTCTGGCCTCCACATGCACGTACACATGTACATGCAAACCCACATGCACAAGTACACAAACACAAATTTAAAAAAAAAATGGGGCTACAGGAAGACCCTGTCTCAAAAAGACCAAAAAAAAAAAAACCCAAAGATTGTTTCTAAAAGAATCATATGGTAGTAGTGTGATAGGGGATGAGGGACTCTTGTTTGTGAAATTTTGTTTGCTGCAGAATAAAGTGATCTTTTTTCACAACCCTGGCTTGGATTCCTGGAAGGAACCACATCCTAACCAGCATTGAAAGGCTGATGGATTCCACCTAATGAAGTATAGGAACTTGTGCTCCTGGAAGACATCTTTGTGCCACATTCTGGTGTTGCTACCTGAGCCTCTTAGCAGTGAAAATTCTCAAAAAGATACAGGGAGACCAACTGAAGACATCACCTTCACTGTCTTTCCAGATCCAGCATGACTTCTGGTCACTATTGAAGGGGACAATTAGAACTATTCAATAACAACACGTACAGAATCATAGTCTCAAAACATTACAGATTATCAGAATTCTCAGGGAAAGTAGAATGCACAGACACTCTTTACAAAACATGTTTCAGATATAAAACTGTTTTATTGTTTTGTTTTTGCAATTTTTATTATGATACTTACAAAACTAAGTTCATTATATCACCTCAGAGAGCTGGGAAACTTTCAACCATTACTTCTTTTAAGAACTGGCTGTTTGTAGGGCACAGTGGCACATACCTGCAATTCCAGCACTCAGGAGTTCAAGGTCAACCTCAGCTACATTCCAAGTTTGAGATTAACTTTGGCTACCTGAGACCCTGTCTCAAAAACAACAAACCAGTTTTATGTTCATCTTATTTGAGATAATTGATATTTTTCCTTGCTTCAGCACTAGTATATGGCTAATGACAATAAAAATTGCTTCTTGTGTTGATGATGTTAGGTTAGTGGTGGAATAAAATGAGGTCATAGAGCTGAAATCGTTTGAAAGGTTCAAAGCTCTCCACCAATACACTATTATCATGGTTGTGATATCAGTAATTTGGTTATTGTTAGAACATTTGAAAATATGAAAGTAAACATATGTCAAACTAAATTTATTGATCCCATAATGGGCTGATTCTCATATAAAACAGCCTGCATTTTTTCTTGAAATTGCCAGTATTTGTACAGCCAACTTTCACCATGAGAAAGCTCAAGAAATCAATTTCTTGTAACACTGGCTGTAGAGAAATGTCTTTGAGACTCGAGGAAGCAATTTTTCTTTGCTAAGGTGAAGGTCTGGATACTTACTTAGACTAACCAATCAGTTCAGCAGGGAAAAATCTTTTGTATTTATATTTACATTATTTTATTTGAAGTTATGTAGAAATAATCGCCATCTAGCTATGACAATACAGGATATTTTCATGTGAATAATGCTAAGAGAGACTGGCTCAGTTCATACATAAGTCAACTGCTGACTTTACAAAGTAAGGATTAGGTTTTCACAGTGGTTGGAATGAGGGGGCAGGTTTCCTTGGGAAATATGAATGTGTAAGTGATTGCTGAGACTTTTAACATGCAGCAGTCTGTGTAGATGCTACCGTTCAATTGGGTTCATTACACATAAGCAGCAAAACCACTGTAATATGACCCCTTCCATTCTTTTATTGAACAAGGTGTGGTGTAAATCAATCAATGAACAGAACAGCGGAGCATCTGTTTTGCAAGGTTAAAAGAGGCTAGGATTTCCAGCTGGATGTTCTTCTGTTGATGTAAGAGAACACACTAGAATGTTCTAAGAGGAGATAGTGTTGAGGAGATGCATGTTTGAGAAGTGTTAAAGTACCTTTAAAAGTAGATCAGCTGAACATTTCTCAAGAACTAGTCATTGTGCATTGAAAATGGTTTTCACTATTTATGTTGAACTAGTTAGAACTTTTTCCACCAAAAATTTCTTTCAATGGTAAGGCAGATATCTTGACTCTCATAAAACTTTATTTCTGTATAATAAACAAGAATGCCATTGATGGAGCAGTTAGGATTTATGAAACTTTTCCGGCTTCCCAGCCACGCAAGCCATCAGCATGATAATTTATAAT